AATAAAGAAATAGTAAAAAGAAAAATATCCTTAAAATTTATATTAAATATTTCAGTCTAAAACGTTTGATGACCAGCAGTAGAATTCAGGAAGCGCGTTTCATCCTATTTGAGACTTGTTAGCAGGATGTACTTGCATCTTCGAGTTGATGTTCACTTCTGGACTCGAACCCCGTACCGTTCGCTTCAAACGCTTAAAACGTTTACTGGTATCTAACTAGTCATAAATTATGTAATTTTTAAATATTATTAATTGAATTCATTCTCGTGTATAATCAATTCACCTTCGCGAGGTGCGGTATCGTGGATGCGCACTGCTGAAGAGTCCCATACTAGGACGAAACGGCCATCCAGTGCTTTTAGGTTTTCTGTGGTGGTCTAGCTTCAATTGACTTATGATTTCAATCAGTGAAATTTCTAAAATCTCCACAAAAATCCCTTTTGATATTATTAGTTTAATCAAGGTTTCAGGGCATTAATTCTTCTATTAACATATTTGTTTATCATTTTTTATTCAATAACTTTCAAATTTGTTTAGATTTTTGCTACAACATACTGATACAGATATTCGTATTACTTTTTAATTAACAAATTTATTAAAATGTGCAAACAACTGATGAGTATTGAATGAAATGAATTCCTGTTATTTTTCTTCATAACGATATACTTCGATTAAAAAGAGCACGAAATATACGTTTCGCGGATGCGTAATATTAGAAAATGTTTCCAACTACAATGAATCACCTATCTAATGTTAGTTAATGATAAAGTTATACTTTTTTCCACGATGAAGCAAATTCCTAGGTGGAGTACTTTTTTCTTTTGATCTGGATGGTTTGATCGTAAAGAATAACAATGAAAGCTCCACGATCAAACTATTCAGTTGAGAGAACAAAACTCCATCTAAATCATCCTCCTGAACTATAAATATTCACCACCAACTCAGAAGTGAATTCATACTAATGACTTTAAAATTTACCAATAAATTACAATAACTGTATTTCAAATCTAGAAAAAAATTGAAGTGACAGAAAGAGAGGAAAAAAACTGGAGAGAAATCTAGAGATTACCAAAAGTAGGTGGGGAAAAATACATTTATGTAAAAGATTTTCAACTGGACTATAATGATAACTATCATTGTAAGATTTTGTAACACCATAAAGAAGGGTAATAAAATATTTCAGACAAGTGTTGTTAACATTAGAACATAAAAGAAACATCAATGATAATAATAATAATAATATTGTTATTATTATTATTATTATTATTATTATTATTATTATTATTATTATTATTATTAGTAGTAGTAGTAGTAGTAGTAGTAGTAGTAGTAGTAGTAGTAGCAAACAATCTTTTTTACGTGTCTCCTAATCCTTTACGTAAATAATAAATAAATACCATTTAAAAGAAACGATTAATTTGCTCAAATGATTGTAAAAAAGTGTTATCAAAAACGTTATATACTCATCTTCATAATAGATTTCCACGTTTCAGTATACGTCCTGAGTATGTGAAGTATCATACATACTATTTCTCTAAAAAAATGTTCTCTTATGACAATACAGACATATCGACTAGATACGGAGGTTTATATTATTTTCAACGAAACGAGTGACGGAATCATTTCAAAAGGAAGCCAGTAAATCAAGCATTTTTCAATGGATTTATTTTCAGACTATAGATTAATTAATACGTTAGTCCTAAACTTCTGCATGGTGGAGAAGATTTGTAGCTCAGGTGGATGATTTTGATGGAGTTTTATTCTCTGAGCTGGATGGTTTGGTCGTGGAGCTTTCATCGTTCTTGTGAACGACATCATCAGCACAAACTTCAGATGTGTAAAGAACAAGCATATGGAAAAATTCGAACACTTCACTTCTATCTGAAGTTTGTGCTGATGATGTAGTTCACAAGAACGATGAAAGCTCCACGACCAAACCATTCAGCTCAGAGAATAAAACTCCATCAAAACTTCTTCTGCATGCTCACGAGTATCTTGAATGTATTGCGCAATCTTGTATTGTTGTCACATATACGACTGAAGATAATAACTGTTATTATGATGTTATCATGATTATATATATACGTATGTATTACCATTTTCTGGGTTTCATTTTATTGGAATACATCATGGCCACTAAGAGTAGAAGACACTCGTAAGCTACTAATACTTGACAACAGATGCCTCAGAAATATTGCTGACGTCTTCTGGGATCACCGGGTAAGTAATAGTGAGGTTAGACGCAAGGTATTAGGGAGTGATGGTAAGCCAGTCGATGAGGTTGTGAACCATCATCTACTGAGATGATTGAGCCACGTGTTGCGTATGCCCGAACACCGATTACCATGACGTGCAATGTTAACTGGTGTTCGGGATGCTTGGAAGAAAGTTAGGGGCGGACAAACCAAAACGTGGCATCAGTTCCTGAAGTCACTAACTTCTAGTCTGAGCCATGTTGGTAGATGCAGACTACTTAGTTGGGGTCCGCGTGACTATCGTAATCAATGAATGACATGGCCCATAATCGATCACAGTGGCGTCGGTTTATATACTCTCTGTCTTCCCCTTAAACTATGAGATTAAAATTGCTTCATATCTTTCTTTCTATGAACTAATTCTTTCTTCCTGTAATATATCCTTATACACACCTCTGAATTAACTACTTTTATGAATCCGTTTTCCATCTTGTTGTGTTAATGTGGTGTGGCAACTTGGACCGATGCATATATGTGCCTGGTCCTACTTTGTAGCTGACTGACTGTCGTAGTCTTAACGTGGGGGCGCCGTTCCTCAAAGTCCCGTGTTCGAGTCCTGGTGAGGTCGTGAGTTCTCAGGGTGGAAACGTCCAATACAAGGTTTACAGATTTATTCATTTTTCAACAGAGAGAGTATTCAATTTGGAAATAATAAAAAGTCTCATAATTCCAGATGGTTAGAGGGCGTAAACAAATGTTTCAGCCTAATTTAAAAGAAATGATCAAGCCAAGAAACTAATTATTACTTTAATTAGAAATGGGGAGAAAACTGGTCACTGACCGGTGCGGATTTAACAGATGCGAATAAATTCGAAAAATGAATAAAAAATACTAGAAAATATGGAATGTTTGTGGAGAAATAATAAATTGCATTACGGACAAACTTTGGGGAAAAAATAAAGTGTGCACCTAAACACAAAGTGAACATCCATGATCCATTCAGAGTTTTAACCAAAGATTTTCGGACCTCACGACTGGGTATGTTACTTTTAAACCATTAAAGTCATCGTTCGGCAGTCGGAGTTTTAAACTTTAAGTGACCTCCAGGATTTTAATGACTGTTTAACAACAAAGTCAGTATTCAACAACCTCTAAAAAATTTATATCCTACCAACGTATAAGTTAACGCTCTTGTTGATCAAGTTGAAAAACAAAGGAAAGTAAAAATGTTTACTTAATTACCAATAACTAAGCATATATACTTCTGAATTGTAAATGAAAAAGCTATGATACAATTAAACCACTTATTTTAGATTAAATGAAATCTAAAAGAGAGTAAAGTAGTAGTTGAACTAGAAATGAGAGTAATAATCTAGAAATTGTAAGATTAATCCGTTTATTTTTTAAAGTTGGAATATATCGACTTTCCGATGATCATTGGTGGTAAGTGATTCGAAATACATTGTAAAATCTAATCTTTATTAGGATGTTGAAACAGACAACTGGAACTGGAAATAGTAGAGTGAGATGTATTGTACTGAAATTTAGCTCAAATTCTGATTACATTTTATTGAAGTACAACATTTTCAGGTTAAACAAAGTTCAGTTAACGTTCAAACTGAATGATTGAATTCATTTACATCTAAGAATTTTATAGTGGAAAATATCTGCAGAAAGAATGAATAAGATAGCTGCTTTGTTTTATTGAAAAGCGTACATACCCCCACATCAAAAAATTATAAGGGACCACTATTGACTCTAATAGCATTAAGTTTCATTTTTCAACCATATTTTAATTAAAAAGATTTTATCAATATGGACTGTTCCATTTTGTTACTTATTAATGATGCGTACACACACACAATCTCATAATAGATTTGATCGGGATCAAAATCATTAGGTTTTGAAACAATCTATGATCGTCGTGAAATATCACGAACTAATTAAATTTAACATTATCTGTCATCAGTTTTAAAGTAAATTCATCGTATACAAAGTAATAACCATGATAACTAGAAATATTAGTCTCATAACAATATACACTGGATACATGTAGACACCTTTATTTTAATTTAATTTTAACACATAGATATTGGTACAAGGAGGCACCAAATACATATGCGCCACACAAATCTCATACGACATGCGTAAGGGCTGTGATACTGCGCGGGTGCCCAAACCGAAACAGGTGGTTTGCTTAGGGAGCCACACCCCGAACCTTCGACCTGAAGGTCGGATCCACAAGGCAGTGGAGCATCGTAAGGAGATGTAGTCTCATGGCAGCCGGTGACCAACGATTGGTTCATACACCATTTGTTCACTCAGGGTACTGGAGCCCATGTGCACCATTGGTTTGGAATCAGGGTTTTCCAACTCTCCTAGGTGAATTCTCCATATCCACCAACCCGGTTAAAGTGCCGGAAATTCACTTTCCGTCCTCTCAATTTCATAAACAACATTGGTGGCGCAAGAAGGCAATGAGTGTGACTTCCCTGGCAGAGGCTATATACGCGTGGCCATGTGAGAGCATTTCGAGAGGGAGAGCGAATCCTCTCCACTCTCGGCCGTATCAGGGCATTTCAGAGCCTATAGACATTGTAGACGAAATAATCGTCCAACACTCTTATATGAATATTATCAATAAACAATAACAAAGACAACGTTAATTATAAAAAGAAGAAACTTATCAAAACAATCGAGAAAAAAAAGGGTTAGACAAAGGACACAATTAGTAGACAAATAAATTTGTACAGAGATATATACAACATTTTTCACTCAAGTATGATAAATTAAAATCGAACTTACCTAACTGAGTCATTCCTATGTAAATTGAAGATTTTCAATATAACCATGGTGATATGAAACATAAAAGAAAAAGTATAAGATAAAAACTAAACCAAACAGAAAAAAAAACAATGAATGAATAATCAAATTGTAGAAAACAATACAAGTTTAAACTGTTTACGAATAACACTATACATGCCAATTTGTAGACAAAACTATTCATTTAACTTGTAAATAGATAAAAACTTAGATGTGTTAGATACCTACTATGAAAGTTCAGTTGTTATTAAGAAAGAAAAAAACAAAACAAACAAATAAATTCTCCACATTGGAACAAACATTAATAGTTCTCGGTTTGTTAATTGACAAGGGAATTTCAGTTGACAAATGAAATGCTTAGTTGATTGGACTTTCTTAGGAACAACACATTGGATGGTATAACTTTATTCCTATATGTATTTGAGCGTGTTTTATAGAAAAGGTTGTTGCTATAGGAATAAACTATAACGGAATCTCGTATATACTACTGCTATTATTGTGTTAAAGTTCAAGTATATGAGGAGGATTGAGGGGAAATCTTGTTTGCCCGGTTTCATTTTCTTGAATTTTAAAGAAAATTTGGCAAAAGAATAATTGCTTTATCTGAACAACCACTGAAGATCAGTAAACACTACATTGTAAAAATGTAAACTATTCAATGTCAAATTAGTGGTCTTAAAGTTTTGTTTTCACTGCGATGGATTTGATCTTAAACGAGGTCATTGGAACAAATTTCTTTAGTCTCATATTAAGGCAAAACGGTTGTTATTTTCACTAAAATCATGGACCGATCAATTTTAGACCACGACTGGGAAAGTGGAAGCGGCCGTTTTGTCTTAGTATAGGACACCTCGGAAGTGCGTGTCGACAAACTGCACATGGGAATCATGTTCTCATTGGTAACTTGATACGAAAGGGAATCCTCGGGGTTCTAATGAAAAGTGGTGGCCAGTGAAGTTTAACCGTGTCGGATGTAAGGCAATTACCCACCGAAGACAATGGAAGACAATCGCTCAACATCATGGATTGACTGAAACTAGACACTAACACCGTTGGATGGCGATTCTGATCTGTAGGTTGAGCGTTTGTGAGCGGGACTGAACGTCCCGGGTTCGATTCTTTCATGAGGAGTACTGAATGCGAACCTCTCAGTAGTTGTACAGATTAAGTCACTTCGTGATGTAACACACTGTTACTACTGCTGTACAGAATCAAAGCAGAAATTCCAATGAGTTGACAATTTATTAACTAGTACAATGTGTCTATCTATTTCTCTATTGAATCTATCGCCTGAAATTAAATTACACTAAACGACTCCAAAATAAGCAACGAGTAAGCCTAACCATATTAAAATAATCATATCTTAAGAAAATCGATAATTCAACAAACTTTAAGGTGGGTAACCATCAGAAACTATCAACAGAGTAAAATAGACCGAATCCCATAATGAGGTATTAAAAAAGCACCTTTCAGTGGTGAAAAGAAAACCTGATGGACTATTTAAAGTGAAAACGAACTCAAATGGAAATAATACTTATCTAATCTATATCATATTTATGCTCTTCATTGGTTTTTTTACTGAATACTGACAAATTTTATTTTTTGTTTTAATAATTTTGATGAGATTGAATGAACGGTCATTGAGATTCTGCACTGAACCATGTTCTCAATCCCATAAGAATCACATACAATGCCTGAAAGTATTCTGGTAAGCACACTACTAATCATTTACTGAATTGTAATCGGATGACTTTCATTTATGAACACTTTTAAACTCATGATATAGTGTAAAGATTATGTAATGTCGCCTACGGGTTTGCAAGTATTTCATCCTCCAGTAAGTCAACTCTATATGTTGTGAAGTTTTATGAGAGTTCCAGATTTTAATCTTCAATGGAACCGTGTATTGACAAGCTGAGACACAAAATATGATGATAAAGTTCTTTAGTAGTCTCTAGATTTCAATGGTTGGCCAATTGGTCACTAACCATTCAGCGAAAACTTCCTTCAAATCACTCAAATTTTGAAGTAGCACGACGGATCATGATAATTTTCAAATTTCGATTTTCGTTAGTGCTATTAAATTTATTCACTTTTTTTTTCGTTTTTTCTCTTGATGTAGATATCTCTTCCAAAAATAAACAACACAAACATCCAATTTTAAGAAGTTATGTCCACTTAATCATTCGAGTACATTTTCACCGAAGTACATTTAACGCTCCTAGAAACTTCTTCCGATATTATTATAATTTATATTGTCCAATATTCAGTGATTATTTCACTTCATTGATGACAATATCACAATAATCTTTCGAAAATTTATTGAATCAAATTCGAATTCAAACTGACCACTTATTAAGTACTCCAATGCGCATGATCAATTATTAGGATACTTAAATCCCGAAAAAAAGGGAAATAAATGTGATCACAGTTAAATAGTTAGCTTTGATAAATAAAACATAATTGATTTTATTTTATAGAATGTTACTAGTAATAATAATAATTTCTTAAATGGATTTAGCAACATAAATAAATATCACTCTCTAATAAGAACACAAAGAAACGTGAATTCTCGTTTATTCATGCATACAAGATGAAAGTAGAAGGTGTAGACGACGAAGAAATGCATAAAATGAAATGAAGTAAAGAGAGAAGGAAGAGTACAACCTGTCGGTAAGAATACAGCATACAAACATGCCCATACACAAACACATACATACATATATATACATGGAATATCAAAAATACACAGTAAATAAATAAATAAATAAATAAATCCAACCAACTTTGTTCATACACAAACTGAAATTAGTAATTATGTATACACACTGTTCTATAGATAATCGGATAAGAAGTTGAAGGGAAAAAGTGATGAACCATATTTCGATACATATATTGAGAAAGAAGATCGAAGAGAGATGGTAGAGTGGGGTGAGGCAGGAAGACAGTGAATGAGAGATGACAGTAACGAATAGAATAGGAGATAAGATGCATTAAAAAGGTAATTTATGAGTTAATAATGATAATAGTAAATATTTCATTAATTCGTAAAAATAAAATCTGACCATAAAACACACTCAAATTATATATAAGACTCATATATTTGTACTATCGGAAAGTCATTGGTAAAATGAGTAAATTTATCCAATAAACCTAATATATATGTATCCACGTGTGTATTTGTTCAAGATGTATAATTCTCATCGTTTATTGGGAGTGTACATGTTCGTAATTCAGCAGTACCCAAAAGAGGAATATCTATGTACACACAGTCTGTGTATAAATGTGTGTTTAAATGTATTTGTACTAAATGAATTCATACTTTGATTATTTATATAAATGCATATCAACCTATCCTTACATTAATAAATCAAACGAACAAATATTTTCTTATTTCCCTGTGTAATAAAACGAAATTCGTCGAAATAAAAATGTTATTTTCATCATATATAAGGGTGGGTTTTCTTCGTGCATTCGTTAGACTTATTAAGTTTCTATATCAAGTAAGGAGATCCAATATATTGAGAGAAAAAAAAACAATTTTAAGATCGGTTTACATCGTTATTAGTTGAGTTGTCCTGTTGTGGATAATCAGGACTGAATTTTGACCAATCTATATAATTCAGTGGGTAGAAGTTGTATCACCAACTGAACAGTATTAAATTGTACAAAACATGTGTCCTAGATTCCGCTGCTAGCCATCATCCATCTATTCTATATTATCTTATATTTCCTTTCTTAATGCATAACAGTATTCTAAAAACAAAATATAATAGTACTGGCCAAACTTCCACGAAGAAAACAAAACTTTGAACATGTTGAAAGAATGTTCTCATTATAGGAAACATATTCCATTCAGCTGGAGATTCCAACATATATTTATGATACTTAATATATCGTCTGCTTTTTATCCATAAAAGTGAATTGATTTAAATTATAATGATTTAGTGAGTAAAATTATGATGAAGAGACGAATGGCCGAGAATGACAAATGTTCGAAGCTATTATTTTAGATCAGTGTTTATATTTCTTAATGTGTATCTATTAAACAATCAGCACACAAGTTTTTAATATTCTCTTCATTGTAAGGTTTTAGTTGATCTACTAACTGATGTTACACTCTTCCATGTTCCCAAATTATTGTAATATAATTATAAACTTGTTATTCCAGTTGGCACTGTAAATGACCTGGTTAGGTATATGCTGAGATATATATGTATATAAAGATTTAAGTCTTTGAGTCAACGTAATAAAAGGTAGATTCGGTTTCTTTTCTTGTGTTGTGATTGAAACGTAGAGGAGAGAGGAATTTTGGTTGGATCGATAAGCGTTAGTATATCAAGTCACTGAGTCAGAATATAAGTATTTTCGATTCAAAGATGACAGAGAAGGCAACGTTAAAAAACATTAGGTGAAGCTAGTATAAAAATTTCAGATGCACATTTACACTAATCTTTGAAAGGATGAAATAATAATGATGATAATAATGATAATGATACATACCACGTTTCCCAGTTACATTCGGAGTAGATCGACAGGAATAACGACCTAAAAGAAATAGGAATAAAATAGAAATTTTCTCTCAAAGAAAACTGAAAATCCTTCACTATCATTGATCACATAAAGAATGATTATTATTTAACGAATGTCATACAATGTTTCTAATATTATATTGAAATACGGACTTGTACTATGATGTGAAAATAAAACTAAGGAAATTCCACAAATACAAAAATTTGTAGTAAATATTCTGGAAATTGAAAGTTAAATAATGATTGAAAGGAATTTAGCTCATTAACCAGTAATAAGATAGAAGGCAACCAGGTTTTATTCAGTTAAGTGAGTAATGGTGTGCCTCTTAATAAATAGCAAATCAGATAATTTTTTTTTAAATGACATTTGAAACAACAAACTGAGGCATAGAACTATTTATTGTTATTTATTTTAACACATAGATATTGGTAAAAGGAAGCACCAAATACATATGCGCCACACAAATCTCATTCGACATGTGTGAGGGTTGTGATACTGCACGGGTGCCTAAAAGGAAACCGGTGGTATTCTTAAGGGGCTACAACCCGAACCTTCGACCTGAAGGTCGGGTCCACAAGGCAGTGGAGCATCGTAAGGAGATGTAGTCTCATGGCAGCCGGTGACCAACGATTGGTCCATACACCATTTGTTCACTCAGGGTACTGGAGCCCATGTGCACCATTGGTTTGGAATCAGGGTTTTCCAACTCCCCTAGGTGGATCCTCCATGTCCACTAACCCAGTTAAAGTGCCGGACATCAGCTTTTCGTCCTCTCAATTTCGTAAATAATGCCCCTGCCACGAGGAGGCAATGAGTAGGACTTCCCTGGTAGAGGCTATATACGCGTGGCCATGTGAGATCATTTCGGGAGGGTGGGCGGACTCTGTCCACTCTCGGCCGTACCAGAGCATTTGGAGGCATAGAACTAGTTAAAAATGAAAAGTAACCCGTCAACGACCAAGTACAAAAACCTAAGAGGGAGGAAATTTATTGCTCAGATAATATCATACCAGTAAATAAATAATGGAAGTTTTTAAACATTTTACATATAGTGTCATTTTGAACGCATCACCCAATATGATCACAATTAATGAAACAAATTAAGTTCAATCACTTTAAGATACGCTTCTAAAACGTGTATATACTTGTAATGAGAATAACATTTTCAAATGATGGTTGAAAATTGTATTTCAAAAGGATAACTTGATTAGAATCAAATCACTGTTGAATCTTTAAATACTGGCGACATAAAAACGAAAAGAAATTACGGATAAAGTCTTATCAAACCTATGAGATAAAAGAAAACACAGTATACCATCATCAAAGTAGGAGAAGTCATAACGAGAAATTATAATTCATACAATCATATGATAATTTAGTGCAAAAGATTAACCAATCGGTTATTATCTATAAGAATATTATAGCACAACTTTCTAAACTGTATTCATTATTTTGATTTGATCACACGATCGTTAATTTATGCCAAAATGATCGTTTGTAATCATTTTAGTTAAGATGAGAGAAAAAAAAAGAGAAACTTTAGTGATAATAAACTGATTAAGTATGGAACGAGTAACAAAACACTATCATGTTATTATTATTATTTAAGAAATGGATGAGATTTTGCATTAAAATGCTCGAAAAGAAATTATTCTCCTTTGGTATACGTAGCTTAACTTTTTGTAAACTCTTGAACTGTCATAATTGACAGATATTCAACACACGGATTACACTAGAATTTTTCGATTATATGATGAATTTAAGTGTGAAATAGATATTCCCCAAGATATTAAATCATCATTCATAGGAAGATGGATCAATACCATTCTATATCATGTAATTTTACTCATTGCTTATGGTTGATTTAAAATAAGCTTCCAGTTTGTGAATTCATTGTTTTACACCTTAACATCATACTTCTTTTTAGTCTATTCGAGTTATATATATCAGCCCTCATGACGAAAGGGTTTTAATAACCTCAGACATTTATTCTGTATCTACCCTGCGATTACATCATCTCTTTTATTGTATTCATGTATTATGCTGTAAACAAGATAATTTAGCATATAAAATTTAACTGCTATCATTAACTTAAGCCTATTTAAGCAATGAGATATCTAAATCATGTTTACCGTATAGGTATTCAGAGATTCAACAAACAGATGTTTAAGAATTGTAAGTGGAGAGATAACAATAAATTCATTTACCGAATATAGGTTTGTATATTCGACTCGGAGTCACACTTTAGGAACAAGGGTCAGTAATACCATCTGTCTTCGCGAACCAATTATACTAAACAGGGTTGAAAACTGTGAATTTTATGATGACAGTTGAGGGATTTAACCTTTAATCACTCCACTAAGCTAACCCATTAAATAGATTACGAGTTATGGTTGGTTATGCTTAGCTTCATTTAACAATTGAATAAACAAAAGACTATTGGACATTTTGATGTCCATGATAAAAGACATATCAACAGTCATATGTAGGAATATCAGTAGTATTTTCAGGAGCATTGTCAGAAAGCAAACGTAATGAGACAATGATTCTCACACAATGGAATTAAACACAGCTCTTACAGTGTTTGTAAACAGTGGGCAAAATCAAAAGTGTTGGCAGTAAACTAAAATACGTAAATGTTAGGACAGAACAAAGAAACTTATTTTTCGTAGTCACTTTATGAGTCATAACTGGGTCAGTAAACTACTCTCGTAGAAAGTGGTTGTTAAATGAAGCACCAAATAAATTCTAAAGTCTCTCTGGTTACTCATCACTAACCAACGACCATCACCTTGAATGAGATACTGACACCTATCAAAACATTAGACCAATAAAGTTGACGATTTAGTTCTTTAAATTCCATGTATTAAAGAGAGAATTCTAGGTATAAACCGAATAGATAATTAATATTGCGCCCACAAAATTTAATCCCAACTAAACCGTAGTGAGGGATTGATAAAACAAACTATTTCCGATTGTTCAATAAGCAGTTGGCGTCTGTCTAAAAAGCCTTCAAAGTTTTGTTTTAGAAAACCAAAACAAAACGTAAAGTGTATCGATTAAAATCAAACTAGGACTTAGCTGGTCAATAAATATTTGAAATTTATTAACAACCTAAAATATTCTTGCTAGGGTTGAAGCTATCACGAGTTCACTTAATCTGCGAACGAGAAACAAGACTCAGTGACCAAAGACCAGTAAGCTAGCTACTGATACGTCCCAGCCTCGCTAACTAGAGGGAAAAGTCCAAGCTTGGAATGGGAAAGTATATACTGCAAACAGCCAGAAACGAGCGACTACAACAAACACAATTCCAAACATACATATACAGTACAAAACCGTCCTTGGGGAGAGTTACCAAATAGCATACTAAAAGACGCAACGGACCAATAGTATTTAAGATATTTCCCAGTGGAAAATATGACATGAAGGTGAGAAGAGCACCTTTGGCGCGAAAACAAAGAAATTCAAAATTTCTAAATAAAATTACAAAATTAGGTCCTTTCCCAAGTGAGTTCTGGGGATCTAACGTCCCCAACAATTCTCGAACAAAGAAATAATGTAGTGAAAGAATATTACACCAGGCATTTTTCAAGACAGGTAGTAATAAAATACAAATCTATCATATGAATTGCAATTAAAAATTAAACGCCATATCTCGGATTTAAACTAATCAGTTTGAATGTTTTATATGGAAAAAATAACCAAAAGGTAAAGTGTTACCTAAATCATTTGACTTTGAGTGAGTTTAATAAACTAAACCCTAATTTAATGATGAGGATTTTTTTTCGTTCAAAATAGAATCTGTTGTAGATACCTTGAAAAAAAATATGTTCTGAATTTGCTTCCAACTTACAAAGCTGGACAATTTACATTTCTCAGTCAGCTGTGAGCAACTTAGAACCTGGAAAATATGTGCTCCAGTTCAAGCTAACACACTATATCACAACAGTAATATAAAATTAAAAAGACAAATCCTAGATTAGTAGAAGTAAGAATAAGATCGACGGATATAGCAATAATTGGGAAGACTATATGATTCGAGGCTAAATTTTGTAATCATACAATAAAAACATATGAGGTAATTTTAGAACTCAAGATATAAAGGGAGACAAAGAATAGATGAATCTGAGTCATGTCACAGAAATTCACTAAACTCTGATTGAAATAATCAAATGAACCCCAACAATATAGTCTACACTTACCAACACCACTCAATCTAAGGTTAGTAAACCACATAATGGGTTTAAATTACTTAAATGAAAGGGTTTGTAGTTTTTTTAATTCTGGGGCTGATAAAGGTAGAAGATCATAATTCTGACAAATTATATCAATAGTTTTATCGTCTTGGGTTGACGATCAAATGAGATCTAAGGTAGATGAATCCTATAAAGATTTGACTGATTCAACAGAAAAACGAATCTGCTTGCATTCTTAGACAACTTCTAAAAAAGGAAATGATTACTAATTCAAAAAAATACTACTAATGTGCACAACAGATGTTCAATTCCAGTTTAATAACACCATATATCGCCTTATCTATGGCGTAGCAATGGGAAGCCTACTAGGTTCAATTATGGCAGATATTTTAATGGTGTATCTTGAAAACACGGTACTTAAATAGGTGATTAATGAAAAGACGGAATACACCAGATATGTTGATGATACGTTTATTGTCTGTAACAATAAAGAGCATGCAATCCGTCTGCTAAAACTCTTCAATAATGCTCATCCTCACATACAATTTATTATGGAACACGAAGAGAACGACATGTTCCACTTTCTTGATGGTGCCATAAAACGTAGGGAAGACGGGACAGTACAACGTTCGATTTATCGAAAAAGTACTTGTAATGGCCTTTATTTGAATTTCAATAGTTTTTGTCCAATTAGTTACAAGGAGGCATTGGTTAAAACACTATTTTATAGGGTAAAAAGGACATGTACCACCGACAAACTGGAAGAAGAATTAATGAACGTTGAAAAACGTCTAAGAGACAATTTTTACACACAAAAGTTTATTGACAAATATAAAAAGCCCAAAGAAAACAAGACGGAAATAATTACGGTCAATAAAAAGCTAGTATCTATAAATCTTAACTTCAAAGGTGATGAGGTTGCAAACACAATCAACAGGAGACTGAATACTGCGCTAGCCAGAACTTACCCGGCGGCTAGACTTTTAGTTCTCTATAAAACAACATGTTCAATAACTCAGTCAAAGGTCGACAGGCACCCCTTTCATGTTACTGCCAACTGTATTTGTAAATTTACGTGTACCTGCCAAAGCAGCTACATTGGCCGAACAGAAAGGAGGGCATATCTTAGATTTTTTGAACATGTTCCAGAAAGTCTCAGAAGAAGGGAAAGCAAGACTCTAAATAGTGCAATCATCGAACATATCTTTAATACAAGATATCAGGTAGATACTTTGCAATCGTTTATGGTGATTAGTAAGCAGCCAAACTCCAGTCTTCTGAAGTTTACTGAGGCCGTTGTCATCAGGCATCGAAAACCTGACCTATATGTTCAAAAGGAGATGGTTATTAAATCTTTCCTTGCATTAGTTACCAATACTCTTGTGCTGCATCGTAAAAATTGTTTTTCTTTTTCTTTAAACTATTTCTTGCATTTATTAAACCATTGAGTTTGATTTCAACTATCTTCCAAATTAATAATCTTATTCGATCAACTGAGCTCTACTCGCTATCCTCCTATCAACGTTTACTTATTATGTAATCACTTGTATTCTGGCCGTTTGAACTGTTGTCAAGATCAATGTACTTTCACATAAGATATATATTTACGACATTCGGTCTATTAATTATATTTAAACCCTTGTTATACTATACGAATATGTCTTCAGTATAATTTCCAACCAAACTCTTTCATGTAAGTAATTTAAACCCATAACGTAATTATGATTTTAAATATCACAGGTTGTAAGCAACTGACGAGAACCTACGAAATAAAATGAATTCATGATATTGTGTTAGAATGTTTGTTCTTCCTCTTTTCAAAATAATAAAGGGAACTACGTGTATGAAGGTTAGTAAACTCATTAACTGACATCACGTTTGGATTCTCCTGCACCTAAATTTCTTCCAAACTATCACTAGAAAAGCCAATCGCGCGTCAAGATATACTGTAGTTATGTATACGCAACACACATCCCGATCGACTTAGTTAATGAATATTCACCGTTTTTCGAATTCCTTAACCAGAACGCTGTGTTTAACCTCAACATTCCTCACTAAGTAGATCTGATATGCCAGAGCAATGCTTCGAAGGGATTTACGTCCAAAAGCTAGTCCGTTATGTTAAAAGTGTATGTTTCACAACCAATGTACACAGAATTCGTTTTTGTCACAAATAAAAATCAAAATTTTTTTATCTAAGTTTGATTTGAACTGACTACATCAATGTTTAAGTTTTGAACAGCTTTAAAAAAAGGAAGAATTCCTGTTTAATAATCAAACGCATCCATTAGAAGTGCAGAATATACCATAATAACCAAAAATGAATACATATTGAGATAAGAAAGAATACAAAAATGAAGAAACAACTAGTGATTGGTGTACTGATAATCAGGAGGAAAATAAAAACTGTATATTCCCAGGGTAATTTTCATAAAAACTGATTACGATTTGCAGCTTCTAATCAATACCTAAAAATAGTAAGCGCCTAAGTCACAAATATACTAATTCTGCGAAATAGAAATAATTAACACTTATTTGTTTCTCTGAAGTAAAGTTAAGAACTGATATTCAGTTGACATCGAAATAACTAACCTGTTGATTGGCGCATATTTTCTAAGCCTGGTGGTAATGTAGATGAATTCATTCGTTCCGAACGACGAAAACCCATAACACCAGACCCAAGAGAACTGGAACCAGGTGAAAGTTGACGTTGTCGAACATACATATCACGTTTAGGTCGACCGGTTAGTGAAATCGGTGTGTTCGATACTCCAACAGATATCGATGTACCACTATAACTTGGCAATTTAGATGGGCTATATCCATTTACTTGCTTTTGTAATTCAATATCATTTGAACGTCGGAACGGCATAGAATTACTTGTCGCTGATCTAACTACATCTCGCCTTGATATATGATGATGACTTGGTGTATGATGTGATGAACTGAAATGATTAGATCTTGCTAATGATCTAGATCGATGACCAACATTTTCATTATTCATAGTAGGATTTAATTCTTCACTACTCATTATAGCGGTAAAACCTTGTTCTGCTAATTGAAGATACGATATAGGATATTGACGACCATAATCAACACCTGGTGGACAGATACGTCTTTCACATGCTGATGGTGTAAATGAATTAGGTGATACAGTTTGTCCAGGTGTAGTAGATAGTAAAGTATCAATCGTTACTGGTCCCATCCCATGTTCCTTATAAAAAGGTAGAAGTTATTTACAGAAATATGAGTTGTATGGCGAATAGTGAGAAAAAGTTAAATATACAATGAGGAAAACAATTGTATAAATGATGATTGATCAAATCCAGCTTATCCCAGTTCGCTAGACCATACTATCGTGATATATATGTCAATGAGGAGCGAAAAACTACTAAATTACGACTAAGTTTCTTTCATCTTCTTGATGAAATCAGTAGTGTTATAACAAAGTTGGTACCATTATTAAAGTTATCGTGATTTGTGAAATACTCAGAACCTCTGATGCAGAGAAGTTAATAAACTGTAAGGATTTTTAATTTGACACAGTTGTTTGTAGTGGAATGGAAAAAAAACCAACAGCTGAAGAGACCTTACAATGGATTCAAAAAATAGTGAAGAGCGGATGGTTCGGTATTAAAAAATAGACATAACTGTTTAAAGCCATGGCTATCAACAGTGATTAAACAACGATTATAAACAAACCACTAGACAACTTCGCGATGCTCAACACAATAAAATATGTGGTTTAAGTCTTAAAGTCCTGATAATAAACATATTTAAAGTATTTTACACAATAAAAATGAAGAGAATACATGTCCATAGATTTGTAGCACATCTACTTCTCTGTGTTCAGTGTGTGTGTGCAGCATCTGGTGTCAACTGTTTGTGTAGTGAGTGAATAATGCATTTACGAGTTTAACTTTTACTAAGGATTTCATTTCAAGCTGTAAATTTCACATTTAAACTGTTTTGCATCCGAAAAGTTGGGGTGCGCTACAGTAGCGTACCAACATAAGACATATGTAGATTGCTTTACATGATTTAGCACAAATACACTGAATAAACAAACAAACGCCCAGAAATGCTGGATAAAACACTTAATGAACATCGAAAAAAAGGTTCTTCTCAAACAAACATCAAAGTCCCATTCAATTCAATACGATGTAAACAAATGAATATTTCACACACACACACACCTAACATAGTCAATCATGTACAGTTCGAGAGAAAAAAAACAATAGTATTCTATTGATAAACATGTTTATGTCCACGTATAGAACAGACCTCCAAAGTAGTAGAAAATAAAAATTCATGAAGTCAAAGTTGAAAAGAGTGCGTTCTATTTTGATTAATCACTTTTCTACTTTGATGCATCAAAATGAAACGCAATGAGAAGAAAAATACCGAATAAAATATAACAGATTAACGTAAATGTTCACCTTCATAATTTAAAAAAAAAAAGAAAACAAACTAATCAATGTCTTTTACTTAGAAATAATATAAAATCAAACATGCATACCAATGTGAATCTATGATTAATACTAACAAATGAAATCATTATGATGTATTCAAAAACAAGGGAATATTTGAGAGTAAAATTACTTTCAAGAACTTTAACTTCAGGTTCTATTCATTACATACTGTATTCTAAGAAGAATTATACTACAGTATACATATAAACGTTATGATTCAGTTATAAATTGAATATAGTGAATTATGCATCGATTATGCCTAAAATATTTACAAAACAGGTAATTGGTAAAGTTAAAATGTCACTGGTTGAAATCATGAGTCAATTGAAGCTAGACAACCATGGGAAACCTGGAGGCACTGGACGGCCGTTTCGTTCTAGCATGGGACTCCTCAGCAGTGCACATCCACGATCCCGCACTCCACGGGATTCGAACCCAGGACCTATCAGTCTCGTGCCAGACGCTTAACGAACTAGACTACTGAGCCGGCATCCAATGGTGTTAATGTCTAACTTCAATCAATCCACGAAGTTGCGCCACCGTACACCATTGTCTTCAGTGAGCTGATACCTTACAACAGACGTGGTTGAACTCCACTGGCAACGACTTCTCACTAGAACTCCAGAATATATCTCTTGAAGTCAGTCACTATTAAGCAGGTGATTATTATCAGAAGGGGTTTTGTGGAGATTTTAGAAATCTCACTGGTTGAAAGCACACAAAAATGAATAAGGAAAGTCACTGCAAAGTAAATAGTTATAATTAGCAGAGCAAAACCATATAATTATGATATATAATAGATGCTGTTGGAATGGTAAAGAAGATTTGTAGATTAGGAGGAGGATTTTGGTGAAGAAATTTTAATGGTCAACTACCATAGGAAATTTGTGTTGATGTGTTTGTCTATAGGAATAACGCAGACTTTATGATTATATAACTCAGCTCAGAAAAAGTAAATGAACTGTGAAAAATGTTGTCGGAATTACTGTGGTAATATAATAATAATAATATCCAGTGAATTAACAAGGATGAATGTTTCGCAGAAAGCAACAAGAAAAAGCTTATGAAGTTTGAATAAACGTTCCATAGTATGTAACTGACAAAACCGATTACAAACGGAGTGGAATGACTCTACTTCTGAACAGGGCAAACAAAACATTTAAAAGTACTTCCTTCACAAACCTAAATTTATTTTCTTCGAGTTGACCTATTATATAGAAAAGAAATAGTCTTACAACATTTTATAGGTCCCTCAAGACTTGGTATATGACGAAACAGGTTACCTTGTCATGGTTTTAGCACTTACTGTCTATCAGCAATGACTAAAACTAATTAGTTCGATCATAAGTAATAAATGTATGTTGTATAGTAGCTACTATAATACAATAATGATAAACCTATAATTTTAAAACAACAAAATAAATTTATTGACAGTAATTGATCATTCAAATATTCTCTTCCGTTTTCAGTATGCTATGAGGGCTTGTAAATTACTTAAAAAATTGTATCAATTTTTCAACAAGCGAGTGAATTGAATACAGTGTCACAAATTTCAACAAACTTCTCCAGTCACTGATTGTCATATCTGCAACATTATTGCGACAGATAGCTACATTTAAGGCTTTTGAAAGAAAAAAGAAACTCATAAAGTCCTTCAGTATTTTATCTAGTAAGCAATCCTCACCGCTTCTAGAGATGAACAATATTTATACTGGTAATGTATATATGTGCCGATTGATGATTAGTAAACACGTCATACTTGTCTAGTACATTTGTGATGGTCTAATTCTATCAACCAGATTGTTATTTAACCACTACCTTGTGTGGCTTTACATTGCGTGCACTGTGTTTTGATGTTAGGTGATTGGTAGAAATCCTTAGATCTAAGTTTTATGATGATTGGCATTCGTCAGCAAACCAATGCTATAACGTTGACGGAAATAGTTTTTCCAATTTTCTGTCGTTCAATATCACAATCTGATACCTTACCACTGAGTTATTCGGGCAGTGAATTAGTGGTAACCTCTCGGAATGTAAGTGGTATCGGTTGGAATTACAAAGAGAGAGAGAACTAACTTGAAACTTAATTTTAGAATTTACTGCCTGCCGATCGCCTCCAATCACTAAACAGGTAATATATATATTTACTGACCAAATAGATCAATGAAATCACATGATATAAGTTAAATCAAAAGTGAAATATATCATCACTAGAGAATATCAGAACAGCTGGATATAATCAACATGTTAGTTAACTTTTATTAAACCTTACAGATATTATGATTCATTAGTTTTGAAGTTTTAAAAACAAAACCTTCTTTTACTCTAACCCTTCAATCCAATATACTAACTTTGAAAGAGATGATTAAATGACGATAATAATAGTAAACATGAATAGTAAGAGATATTATTGTTTCCATTACTTAAGTAACTGTTTTTTTGACAATTGAAAAGACAAAAAACAGTGGTTCACGTTTTTTTTCACGGTAAACAAGTCAATGTGAAAATTGAACAGAGAATAAATTGAATAGATTGTAGAGAAAATGACATTTCAAACACTACTGAAATGAAAGTAACCTCGTTCGTTAGAAAATTTGACATTTAACACATAGGTTGTCGATACGAACCTCTTCTTATCTACTTTCCTTCCAGCATTCAAGAAGTTTAGTTACCTCACAAACACATATGCAAAGTAACTGAAGATCGATTAAATAAATGTCTAATTGATAGACGATTTACAACTAATGGATAAGCATAGAAAACAAGAGAAACTCCCTTTTTTATATGAATAACATTAAAATATGCTCACAAAATCAAATTAACTAAGATAAACAAATCACCAACGAAAAAGTTTTTTAAAACAATTATCCATATCGATAAACTTAAGTTATATAATAAAAAACAATTTTACATTGTAAATTCATCAAAATGCTGTCTAGATAATGCATCCATTTGGTCCTATTGTGGGACTCCTCATCAGTGCCCAGACGTGCACAATAGGATGAAACGACCGTCCTGTACTTTCAGGTTTTCAATGGTGGTCTAACATCAATCGGTTCATGATCTCAATCAAAAAACTTAATAATCTCCACAACCCTATAGTGATGATGAGAATATAATTTGACTCCCACTCTTCCTAACAAAATCGCGGACGGACAAACAATAATGACTGTGATAGAAATAAATTAGCACTAATTCAAATCCTCAATCCAAGCGTAATTTAAACATTGTTAAAAACATCAGTGTTATTATGTATTGAATTTGCATATATGTTTAAACGGTGGCTGTCTGCGGCAATCCTGTAACCATAAAAGATTTCAGACAATCTTATCCACACAGGATAGAATGTTGCAGAACATTTGTATTTTTCTTAATCTCAGTTTTTTTTAAAGAATAGATAAGCAAATAAGCCTACAAGTCAATGTGATGTCTTAACTAGACTTTTGCAATAATTGAAATCCCTTTACACTTTTGAAAATGTGAATGAACAAACTGGAAGCAAATCAATTCACGGTAATAATTTCACAGTCAGGAATCGCAACAAACTGACACTCTTAATAATATATTACAGATTATTAATTGTTTTAGTAGTAATGGTAGTAGTGATAATATCATTCAAGACTGTATTATACAATGAATAAAACTGTAATAATTTCTAGTTGTATGAATGAACTAGGCGGTCTGCTTGAGCATCTGGGCTACCTGTTCCTGCTATCTAGATATTTCAACAAGTTATCTATTT